GGACGGTAAAACTGTGTCTATCATAGCTTGCCACATAACTAGTTAAGGCTTGCTAGACATTTAACGGTTTAAAAGTAAGTAAAAAATATGAAATAAATAGGGAGCCTCACTCTAATATAATAAGATGATCCAATGGTATAATTGTGAAAATATGCATTTATGTGTCCTCGGTGAAAAAAACAAGCATTTCAGCTCACTGCAAGATCAATATAAATTGAAAGTTTTGTTCTTTTTGTCCAGGACACATGCGGTCATATTTTTTCAATCCCTCCGTTGGATCATGTTATATTATAGGTGTGTTGGTTTAATATTTTTTTCAGGATTTTTGAGAACTTTTACACCGTCGAAAACCTTAACTAGTTCTGTGGCAAGCTATTGTAGAAAATCCTACTCCAATGTGGGACTTGGTATATCCATATTAAATGGCTTGCATAATTATTTGTGATTATTACACTGTTCTTTGGCTTGTTCAATATGTGACTATGAGTAAACAGATTGCATGGAAAATTATGTGCAATCTGGAAAAAAAATCAGTGGAATATTTCTCATAAAGTATTAGTATTTATGGTATTCTGATTTCATGAGCATCTCTATGACCTATATGTATGGGTAAGAGAGGAAACATACTACCCTTTTATTTATTTTATTATTCCAAACTCTAAGCCGAATTGATGAAATAACTCCATTTGATATTTGTAATTTGGGAGACTATTTTTTTATATGGAGGAAGATATAAACTTTTCAAGGGACAGATCCTATCAAATATTATTGACTGCACCTTGCAAAGGTAATTTTAATATTTATGAATGGAATCTGCAAAGATGAAGTGGAGGAAAATTGTGGTAATTATACCAAATTTGCATGAAAAGGAATTCAGTGAAATGTCTATTATGGCATCACTTATTTATGGAGGAAGATGGGAACCACTCCGTGAAAAAGGAAATTTGCTCTCCTTCGGGAAATTTTGCCATGGAACTCCCCGGTGGAGGAAAATTATTATTGCTATAGGACACTATATGCAAATTCAGTGTGAAGGGATTGAATGTATGGTTCTATATTGGAACCCATTGTTATGAAATACTATTTGGAAAAGGAAGAAGTGGAAATGTTGCTCAATGATAAAATCAGTGCATTACGGAATTTCACACAATGGTCTATTCTTTCTTGATGGTCCATTGGAAGTTACCAACCCGAACTATTATTTGGGGAAGATAACTCCATAGAGAGGAATGCTGATAACAGGAACACATGCTTGGAATTTATTATTTTTGTCATGGATGACTTGGTCACTTATCATGGAACCGAATCGAGTGGCTTACTAATTCCGGAATACAAAACTTTAGTGGGAGGAATTTGGCTTTCTAAAGCACATATATAATGGTATTTGACTTGCACGCCATTTCTTAAAGTGGAAGGAGATAAAAGCTTCACATAGTTTTTCTCATATACATATGGTATTTTTTTGGTCTCTCTCACTAGAGGTCGGATTGTTTATCATTTCATTCATTGATGATTGCACTTTATATGGTTCTTTGTTTATCTTTCATTATACAAGTTAGAAGGTTTTATTGTGTTGTTCACATGTTGTACTGAAGTGGAAAATCACAAGTTATTTGTGCCCCTCTTCGAGCATTGGGTGAAACCCTAGGTTCTGGTTATCCAGATCGGCGGGCGATGGCGTCTCGACGTCGTTCTCCTTCATGAAGGCGTTGTCTTGTATGCTCGCGGCATCCTCAGGTTCTAGATTTGGAGAAGTTGGTTGTCTAGTTGTTGGTTTGAGCTGCTTC